GCCTTGAAGAAAAAAAAAAAGGCAGACTCTGCGTGCAGTGGCTCACACCTGTAATCTCAGCACTTTGGGAGGCCAAGATGGGCAGATCACTTGAGGCCAGAAGTTCAAGACCAGCCTGGCCAATATGGTGAAACCCCGTCTCTACTAAAAATACAAAAATTAGCTGGGTATCGGGCACATGCCTGTAATCCCAGCTACTCAGGAGGCTGAGGCACAAAAATCACTTGAGCCTGGGAGGTGGAGGTTGCAGTGAGCTGAGATCGGGCCACTGCACTCCAGCCTGCGTGACGGAGGGAGACTCTGTCTCAAAAAAAAAAAAAAAAAAAAAAGAAAAGAAAAAGGAAAAAAAAAAAAGAAAAAAGGCAGAGTTAGATAGCCAACTGTCAATTCAGGACATACAACAAAAGCCAGAAGGCCTTCAAAGCAACAATTGGAGACCCTCATCTTCTGCAGCAATAAGGCAGACATTGCTGAGAATAAGACCCAGATTCTAATTGTAAGAGTTGCAGAGTTGCAAGAAAGATGGAATATGAGCAGCCCTAACGCATCACCAATGCCAAAGTCAAGCCTCTCATAGGAAAGGATCGGAACCCTGATGCCTAGGAGGGGACATCTGGGTGTACTTGAGAATACTGAACCCCCAGATTTCTCTGAACCCCCTGAACATTCCAGGCCAGCAAAAGTAACTCTCTCTCCCTTGCTAGAGGAGAGCAGCCTGCCCTTGTCTGGAAGTCATGCTAGGATTCAACTGATTTGCAAGAGGATATTTGTCCTCAGATATGCTCCTTATTTCCTCTCACTGCTTCTTCTCCTGACTCTTAACAGTCAGAAGTACAGGGGACTTTTTTTTTTGGGCAAGGTATAGGGGACTTTATTGATGGCACATGATAAGGTGGGTCTCCGTAGGCCCCACCCTCTTCAGGGGTCTGACATGGAAACTGTGTTGAGGGGAGATGCTCAGTATGGTGGGGGCTGAGTGCAGCAGGGCTCCCCAGCAGCTGAGGGCCCCTCTCTTCCTCTTGTGCTCTCACTGGGATTGGTGGCCTGGGGCTCTTACTCCTTGGAGGCCATGTGGACCATGAGGTTCACCAACCTGTTGCTGTAGCCAAATTCACTGTCATACCAGGAAATGAGCTTGACGAAGTTGTTGTTGAGGGCAATGCCAGGCCCACCATTGAAGGTGGAAGAATGGGTGTCACTGTCAAAGTCAGAGGAGACAACCTGGTGCTCAGTGTAGCCCAGGATGCCCTTGAGGAGCCCCCTCAATGCCTGCTTCACCATCGTCTTGAGGTCACTGTATTTGGCAGGTTTCTCCAGATGGCAGGTCAGGTCCATGACCAACATGTTGGTGGTGGGGACATGGAAGGCCATGCCAGTGAGCTTCCCATTCAGCTCGGGGATGACTTTGCCCACAGGCTTGGCAAGAATGATGTTCTAGAGAGCACTGTAGCCATCACACTACAATTTCCCAGAGGTACCATCAGGAGTCTTCTGGGTGGCAGTGAAGGCATGAACAGCGGTCATGAGTACTTCCACGGTGTCAAAGTTGTCATGGATGACCTTGGCCGGGGGGGTTAAGCAACTGGTGGTGCAGGAGGCATTGCTGATAATCTTGAGGCTGTTTCCATACTTCTCATGGTTCATGCCCATCACAAACATGGGGGCATCAGAAGGGGCAGAGATGGTGACTCTTTTGGCTCCCCCATCTAAGCAAGTCCCAGCCTTCTCCATGGTAGTGAAGACACTGGTGAGTCCATAACATAAACAGCACCAGCATCACCCTCTTTGATTTTGGTGGGATCTCATTCCTGGAAGATGGTGATGGGATTTCCATTGGTGACAAGCTTCCCGTTTTCAGCCTGATGGTGCTGTGGAACTTACCATGGATGGAATCATACTCAAATATGTAGACCATGTAGCTGAGGACAATGAAGGAGTCATTGATGGCAACAATATCCATTTTGCTAGAGTTAAAAGCAGCCCTGGTGACCAGGCACCCAGTATGTCCAAATCTGTTTACTCCAGCCTTCCCTTTTACCTTGGTGCCTTAGGGACACAATTGGCACCGCAAGAGAAGATGCAGCTGTCAGTCGAACAGGAGGAGCAGAGAGCCTGTCATTGCTTCAGACTCAATAACCGGGGTCAGATCTCAGTGTTGTAGCTTGGGATGGGAAATACAGCTTCTGCTTTTGGATAAAATAGTCCACCCATGAAGACCAGGACCAGCTAATAAGGACTGGGAGAAATAAAGGGACTATGTATGGGAGTGGATTTTTTTTTTTTCTTGGAGAGAGGGCCTTGCTTTGTCACCCATGCTGAAGTGCCATGGTGTAAACACTTCTCTCTACAGCCTCAATCTCCTGGGTTCAAGCAATCGTCCTGCCTCAGACTCCCAAGTAGCTGGAACTATAGTTGCACGCCACCATGCCTGGCTAATTTTTAATTTTTTGTAGAGAGGGCCTTACTGTGTTACCCAGGCTGGTCTTGAACTCCTAGGCTCAAGTGATTCTCTGGCCTCCACCTCCCACAGTGCTGGGTTACAGGTGAGAGCCACCCCACCCAGCCAGAAGTGGATCTTGAGGGTGCTAGACCATGATGCAAATATAAGGTTGAAAGGAGATAGTTTTGGCCAGGCGTGGTGGCTTATGCTTGTAATACCAGCACCTCAAGAGGCCGAGGCAGTAGGATCCCTTGAGCTCGGGAGTTCAAGACCAGCTTGGGCAACATAGCGACACCTCATCTCTACAAAAAATTTTAAAAAACAAAATTAGTTGGGCATCGTGGCTTGTGCCTATAGTACCAGCTACTAGGGAGGCCGAGGTAGGAGGATCACTTGAACCAGGAAGTCAGAAGTTGCAGTGAGCTGAAATTTCACCACTGCACTCCAGCCTGGATGACAGAGTGAGCCCCTGTCTCAAATAAAATGAGTAGGTGAGGTGTGGTGGCTCACGCCTGTAATACCAGTATTTTGGGAGGCTGAGGCGGGTGGATCACTGGAGGCCAGGAGTTTAAGACCAGCCTGGGCAACATAGTGAGACTCTATTTCTAGTAAAATTAGCTGGGCATGGTGGCACATGCTTATAATCCCAGCTACTCTGGAGGCTGAAGCCAGAGAATCACTTGAACCAGGAGGCGGAGGTTGCAGTGAGCTGAGATCACACCACTGCACACCAGCCTGGATGACAGAGCCAGACTCTGTCTCAAATCAAAAAATAAATAAATTAATAAATTAATTTAAAAAGAAAGGAGATAGTTTATTGACAGGGGAGCACTCTTCTGTAACACAGGATGTAGCTGGAGCCAGTTCTAACATGCTTCTGGGATAGCTCCACGAAATGGTCTATGATAATAAGGTGGGGATGCTGGGATGGCCATTGCAGAGTTTTGGGATTTTTTGTGCATGGTAAAATACACATAAAATTTGCCTCTTCACTTTAGATATTGTGGTACAATATACGTAACGTAAAATTTACCATTTTAGCCACTTTTAAGTGTCCAGCTTAGCGGCATTAAGTACTTTCACCATGTTGTGCAGCCATTATCACTGTTCATTTCTAGAACTTTTTTTTTTTTTTTTTTAAAGACAGATTTTCTCTATTGTTGCCCAGGCTGGAGTGCAATGGCGTGATCTCGGCTCACTGCAACCTCTGCCTCCTGGGTTCAAGCGATTCTCCTGCCTCAGCCTCTCGAGTAGCTGGGACTACAGGCACGTGCCACCATGTCTGGCTAATTTTTGTATCTTTAGTAGAGACGGGGATTCACCATGCCAGCCAGGCTTGTTTCGAACTCCTGACCTCAGGTGATCCGCCTGCCTCGGCCTCTCAAAGTGCTGGGATTATAGGCATGAGCCACCACACCTGGCCAGCTATACACTTTTAAACAACAAGATCTCATGACCACTCTCTCATTATCACAAAAACAGCAAGGGAGAAATCTGCTCCCAAGATCCAATCACCTCCCACCAAACATGCTTCCTCACTTCCTTCAGGACTTTTCTTTTCTGGAAGTGCTTCTCAGTGAGGCCTTCCTTGACCGCAAAAAGCTTCTTTTTTTTTTTTTTTTTTTTTTTTTCTGAGACAGAGTCTCGTTCTGTCACCCAGGCTGGAGTACAATGGCACAATCTCAGCTCACTGCAACCTCTGCCTCCTGGGTTCAAGCAGTTCTCATGCCTCAGCCTCCCAAGTAGCTGGGATTACAGGTGCTTGCCACCACGCCTGGCTAATTTGTGTATATTTAGTAGAGACAGGGTTTCACCATGTTGGCCAGGCTGGTCTCGAACTCCTGACCTCAGTCAATCCTCCTGCTTCAGCCTCCCAAAGTGCTGGGATTACAGGCATGAGCCACTGCGCCCGGCCCAGACTGATCAAAACATGTCTGACCATGTCTTTTCTCAGCTGAAAACCCCCTAGTGACTCCCATTTCCCCGAAAGGAAAAGCCAAAGTGCTTACACTGGCTGGCAAGCCTGGCAGAATCTTCCCTGCCTGCTCCTTCCTCTCTGATGTCAGCTCCTGCTAATCTCTGCTACAGCCACAGTGCTCTCCAGAGTCACCCTGCGTACTCCTGCCACAGGGCCTCTGCACTGGCAATTTCCATGGCCGGGAATGCTGGTCCTCCAGAATATTTCTAAGCATGCTTCCTCACTTCCTTCAGGACTTTTCTCAGACAGGCCTTCCTTGATGATCAATCCTCTACCAGAGTAAGCTCTCCCTCTCCTGGTATTCGCAGGCCCGCTCACCCTGCTTTAAGTTTTTTACAGCAATTGCCAATATCATAAGTTATCGTTATGCGAAGTATATTTTCTTTTTCCTGAGACAGGGTCTTTCTGTGTCACCCACGCTGGAGTGCAGTGGCCCAATTTCAGCTCACTGCAATCTCTGCCTCCTGGATTCAAGCGATTCTCCTGCTTCAGCTGCTTAAGTAGCTGGAATTACAGGCACCTGCCACCATGCCTGGCTAATTTTTGTAGAGACAGAGTTTCACAGTGTTGTCCAGGCTGGTTTTGAACTCCTGAGCTCAAGCAATCCGCCTGCCTTGGCCTCGAAAAGTGCTGGGATCACAGGCGGAGTCACTGCACCTGGCCCGACGCTGTTCTCCAGAGTCACCCTGCGCGCTCCGGCCACACAGCCTTTGCATCGGCGATTTCCACAGCCAGGAATGCTGGTCCTCCAGAATATTTCTAAGCATGCTTCCTCACTTCCTTCAGGACTTTTCTGGAAGTGCTTCTCAGTGAGGCCTTCCTCGATGATCAATCCTATATAAAATAGCAACCTCCATCTCTGCTGGTATTCAGGGGCCGGCTCGCCCTGCTGTAAGTTTTTCATAGTAATCGCCAACATCATGAATTGTCTTTGAGGGGTTTTCTGTCTCCCCACAACTTGAACGCAATCTTCATGAGGACAGGGACTTTATCACCCACCCCCGGTTTTTTTTTTTTTTACTGCAAAACCTAGAACAGCGCTTGGTGGGTAGTAAGTACTCAATAAATGTTTGTTGGATGAATCCAATAAGTAAACAAGACAGAGGACACATGTAGGGATCCGTCTGTGAACCTTGAGCCCCTGGCTCCTGAGTCCGGCAGTGGGTGCAGTGGCAGCTCCTGTCTGTGAGGGCCCCAGAGGCCGGCAACAGGATGCCTCCTTGGAAAATTCACTCAACGCCTTTGCCGCTGAGGCTGTTCCTCTGGGATGATCTCTTTGGGGGATCATGCTTGGATATTTGTCTCAAAGAGTCCCAGGCCAAACCTCAGGGACCTCAGAGCATTTAGAAAATTAACACCTCTGCGAGCCTGGTCCAGGCAGATCCCGTGCAGACGGGAGTTTGTCCCCTTCCGGTCCCCGAGGTCCTGGCTATGGCCAGCATGGAGTGACCTGCGTGACCTCTGAGTGCCAGGCAAGGGTTCAGCAGCCAACTCCTCAACTACTTCTGCAGGATGCTGGCAGCATAGCCAGCGAGATGGTTGGAAGCCGTCAGGGCACAGAGAAGGGGCCGAGGGTGCCCTGAGTGTGCATGGGGGGCAGCCCTGCTGCAGTCCAAGCCTTTGATTCCCAAGCTCTGTGCAGTTCCCCCTGGACCCTGCCATGTGGCCCAGCCACCCATACCTGGGATAGGGGCAAAGCCAAGCTACTGTCTCCTCCACAGGGAGGCAGCCTGTTTGCTTTGTCCGTTTGCCTTTGCAGAGACCTCGATCCTCATGCAAGACAAGCAGCGGCCCTTGTAGGCACACGAGACAATCCCAAGTGCCAGTGGGAAGGAGATCCCTTTCCTGATGGGGCTGCCTCTGCCCAGTCCCTCTCAGCTTCCCCAGGGCCCTGGGGCTCTGCAGGCATTCAGAAGTGGAAGCCAGCCACAGCCCGGGACTGAAGAGGTTAATGTGCAGCTGCCTCCGAATGTTAATGTGTCTAGGTGATGTCAGTGAGAGCCGCAAAGGAGGGAGTAGGGAGGGCAGTTGGGCTTGGAGGCGGCAGCGGCTGCCAGGCTGCTGAGGAAGACCCCCTTCCCGACTGCGGGGCTTGCGCTCCTGGACAAGGTGGCAGGCGCTGGAGGCTGCCGCAGCCTGCGTGGGTGGAAGGGAGCTCAGCTTGGTTGTGGGAGCCGGCGACCGGCACTGGCTGGATGGACCTGGAAGCCTCGCTGCTGCCCACTGGTCCCAACACCAGCAACACCTCTGATGGCCCCGATAACCTCACCTCGGCAGGTGAGTTGACTGGGAGTCCTCCCTCCTCTGGGCTGTGGGTGGAAAATGGGAAGGTTTCACCCCTGAGCCAAACTGCTTGGGAAACTTTATCACAGTTCTTGGGGACAAGATCTGTGGTCTACTTTGCTCAGAGGGGCAGGGGAGAAGGGGGCAAGGGTCCGCAGGGGCAGACGGGTAGGAGCAGAGCAGGGGACGAAGGCATGTTCAGAATGGCAAGGAAGTGGGGCCAGCCGCGAGGCAGCAGGGGAAGCTCGCGGCTAGGTTCCAAAGAGGCTTGGCAGAAAAAATTCCAGGCTGGAAAAGCAAGCGAGAGAAGCTAGAGGGTGGTATGTGGGAGACAGCTGGGGGCTCACTGTTAGCCTCAGCTTTTTACTCGCACTTGGGTGATGAGGTCTGAGACATCCTCACTGCCACCTGGGAGAGGCCCTGGGAAGGGAAGACTTCACGGAGCCATGAGGGGATTAACTTTTCTGGTGAATTAAGCTTCCTGACATTTCCAGAGCTGCGGTGCCCTGGGATTCCAGCTTTGAAGGAGAAGGGAAGGAAGGAAAAGAGGAAAGGCTTATGTGGATAATTTTTTCAAGCTGCTAAGCTTCAACACACAGCTTCTGTCTCTGCTTCACTCGAGAAACCCAGGCTCAGAAGATACCAAGCAAGGAAATCCCTGCTAGGAAGCCTGGGGTAGGGAGGGTTGCTGACTTGACCAGGGCACAGCCGGCAAAAGCCTCTACAAGACAGTCGCCCAGAGATGCCCAAGAATCAGTACTCCGTTTCCAACCAGAGACCTCCAAAATGAAGCACTCAGGGCTACACATAGGAAAAGCACGTGCGCACACACATACACACACACTTACTTCTGTGTCCTTCTGGCTATTTTGATGAGGTTTCCTGGTGAAGCCCGGGGCGCACAGAGTAATCTCTGCAGACAGCTGTGGTTCTTGCCTCTGGTGCCTGCAGGAGGCAGGCTTCTTGTGTCCTTGCAAGACGGGTGGCTCAGGGGACTCTGGTAGGATTCACCAGGAAATCCATGGAGGAGGGAAAAGGGACAAGATTAGCAACGGTGAAGGGAGGGAGAATGGTGGGAGAGGATTCCAGATGAACGGTGGGTCGCTGGAGGCTGAGCATGCCAGCAGGATGTCAGTTCTCAGAGCAAAGCCCATGTCAAACGGCCGACGCTTGCTCCTTCTGTCCCCAGGATCACCTCCTCGCTCAGGGAGCGTCTCCTACATCAACATCATCATGCCTTCGGTGTTCGGCACCATCTGCCTCCTGGGCATCATCGGGAACTCCATGGTCATCTTCGCGGTCGTGAAGAAGTCCAAGCTGCACTGGTGCAACAATGTCCCCGACATCTTCATCATCAACCTCTCAGTGGTGGATCTCCTCTTTCTCCTGGGCATGCCCTTCATGATCCACCAGCTCATGGGCAATGGGGTGTGGCACTTTGGGGAGACCATGTGCACCCTCATCACAGCCATGGATGCAAATAGTCAGTTCACCAGCACCTACATCCTGACCGCCATGGCCATTGACCGCTACCTGGCCACCGTCCACCCCATCTCTTCCACGAAGTTCCGGAAGCCCTCTGTGGCCACCCTGGTGATCTGCCTCCTGTGGGCCCTCTCCTTCATCAGCATCACCCCCGTGTGGTTGTATGCCAGACTCATCCCCTTCCCAGGAGGTGCAGTGGGTTGCGGCATCCGCCTGCCCAACCCGGACACTGACCTTTACTGGTTCACCCTGTACCAGTTTTTCCTGGCCTTTGCCCTGCCCTTCGTGGTCATCACGGCCGCATACGTGAGGATCCTGCAGCGCATGACGTCCTCAGTGGCCCCCGCCTCCCAGCGCAGCATCCGGCTGCGGACAAAGAGGGTGACCCGCACAGCCATCGCCATCTGCCTGGTCTTCTTTGTGTGCTGGGCACCCTACTATGTGCTACAGCTGACCCAGTTGTCCATCAGCCGCCCGACCCTCACCTTTGTCTACCTGTACAATGCGGCCATCAGCTTGGGCTATGCCAACAGCTGCCTCAACCCCTTTGTGTACATCGTGCTCTGCGAGACGTTCCGCAAACGCTTGGTCCTTTCGGTGAAGCCTGCAGCCCAGGGGCAGCTTCGCGCTGTCAGCAATGCTCAGACGGCTGACGAAGAGAGGACAGAAAGCAAAGGTACCTGACACTTCCCCTGCCGCCCTGGACACCTCCAAGTCAGAACACCACAGCAAGCCGTGGGGAGAGATGCCGAGAGAAACCCAAGACCGCTCTGGGGCAATGCAGGAAGGTCAGGTGGTGAGGGTTGTTGCAATGAAATAAATACATTCCATGGGGCCCACACATTGCTGGGGAGGCCTGGAGTCAGGTTTGGGGGTTTCAGACATCAGAAATCCCTTTGGGGGAGCAGGATTAGACCTTTGGATAGAACAGAAGCTGAGCAAGAGAAGATGTTGGTTTGGATCATCGGTTGCACTATATCTGCGAGCTCTCAAATGTCTTCTTCTCAAGGCAAGAGGTGGAAGGCTACTGACTCGGTTTGTTTCAAGTCAGGCAGGGCTGGAGTGTGAGCAGCCGGGACCATGTTGCACAAGGCCTGAGAGACGGGAAAGGGCCCGATAGCTCTTTCCCCCCTCTCACTGGTGTGATGGAAGGCGGCCTTTCTCCCAAGCTGGTGGATAATGAAAAATGAAGCATCCCATCTCTCGGCATTCCAGCAGCCTGTCCATTTCCCTTTTGCTCTAGAGGATGCGTGTTTATTTGAGGGGCTGTGGCACTGAGCCCACAGGAGTAAAAGCCCAGTTTCCTAGGAAGTCTGCTTACTGAGAATGACAGGGAGATCTGGGGTGGGTGTGGTTGGGGGGTCTTAAAACTACTAAAAGTTGGCGGCGGGGGGCTTTTGCAGCTTTGGTGACATTCTCTCCACGGGGCACATTTGCTCAGTCGCTAATCCAGCGTGAGTGTCCGTGTGTTCTGCATGTGCAGGGGCCATTCTAGTGCCCGGTGTGTTGGCATCATCTTCTTGCTCTAGCCCTTCCTCTCCAAAATAAAAACAAATAAAGGAAAATCTCCACCCACATCACTCTGTTCTTGTGGACTTGGGGGTGGGTGTGGGGTCAGGGGGAAGGTGGGTAGCAGAAAAGAGGAAGAGGGGTCACTTCATTGTGGAATTTAGACCTTGGTTCGCGCTGCATTTTTAGGAAGCACGAAGCAGGAATCTGTTTTTCTGAACCCACAGGGAGGATTCAGTGGCATGAATGGAATTACTGGGGATTCATTCGATTGCAGTTCCGCTGCTAGGCTTGTTCTTGGGACTCAGCTTCCTGTCTTCTGCACAAAATCCCCTAGACTTTGTTGTCACCAGTGCTGGCCCCTCAGGCCCCAAGTCCCAACCCCCACTTCCCCCCAACCCCCACCCCCGCTGAGTCACCAGCCGCAGAACCAGTTCTTGGGGCAGCTGAAGCCTGTCTGCTTTCTACAGCCGAGATCTGGTGTGGGCACCTTGAACAGAAGATTACAGCCGGGGCCGCTGGGAGGCAGCCGCGACTGCTGCTTGGCTGCTGCTTCTTGACGTCTTCACTGAGAGGGGACTGGGAGCCGTCAGTGCAGTGCTCAGCAGACCTTACTGAGATAGCAGGAGAAAGCTGCAAGCATCCTTAAAGCAGGGACACCAGCACAGCCTGACAGCCTGTTCCTCTTCAGAGTTGCAGCAGGGATCTTCTTTAGAAAACTTCTGGGCAGCTTCCTTGGGTCCTGGGGACTTTTTTTTTTTTTTTTTTTTTTTGACACAGGGCCTTGCCATGTTGCCCAGACTGGTCTCAAACTCCTGGGCTCAAGCAGTCCTCCCACCTTGGCCTCCTGAAAGTTGGGATTATAGGTTTGAGCTGCCACATCCAGCCCCTGGGGAGCTCTTTATCCCCATCATTAGTATTTCCTGGCCTGTGTTCCTCTCCGCCGAGCACCTGCGGGGTAAAGAAGCTGATGGTTATTTTCCTTACTCACTAACAGTAGGGTCTCCAGCTGCCACCGGTAACTTGAAATCTCTTTTAGACACACACTCAATAAAAGAAAGAAGATTCTGGCTCACACCTGTAATCCCAGCACTTTGGGATGCCAAGGTGGGCGGATCACCTGAGGTCAGGAGTTCAAGACCAGCCTGGCCAACATGGTGAAACCCTGTCTCTACTAAAAATACAAAAATTAGCTGGGCGTGGTGGGCGCCTGTCGTCCCAGCTACGTGGGAGGCTGAGGCAGGAGAATCACTTGAACCCGGGAGGCAGAGGTTGCAGTGAGCCTAGAGTGCACCATTGCCCTCCAGCCTGGGTAACAAGAGCGAAAACTCCATCTCAAAAAAAAAAAAAAAAAAAAAGGAAAGAAAAGAAAAAAGGATTCTTAGGGGAGCCTTGAGGCAAATCCAAGAAGCCCCAACTCCTAGCCACAAACGTGATAAAAGGAGGTCTTCCTGCATCAGGGTTATCTACTGGAAGGCTTCCCTGGGTGTCTATCAGCCCCAGCCCCTGCCTGCTCGTCACTCCCTCTCACCTTCCAGCACTCCAAGGAGGAATCCCAGAGAGGAAACAAGGGAGACGGCCTCTCCCAGAGAATGCACATCACCAGATCAACAGCTCACGGTGGCTGGGTGGGCACACGCCCAGCAGCTCCTGGGAAAGGGGGCATCCTGTCCTTCAGCTCTTAACCCCACGCTGAAACAACTAAAATGGAAGCAGAGTGGGTGGAGTCATGAAAGTGGGTGGATAGCAATGTAAACCTCCCAGAGAGGAGAGGCGGAGGGGAGAGATGAGTTAGGGAGAACAGGCGGTCGAGGGGAGAAGTGGGGCAGGGAGGCTTGAAGGGTGGGGGATTACGATGGGAGCTGCCACCAGCACACCTCTCCCCAGCCTGATCCCGCAGTTACCTGGACACACTCGCGATGTGGATGAGAGTAAGACCAGGCAGAGGTGAGCGCTGGATTGCTGGCTGGCAAGGCATTTTCCTGACATCACTGGTGGGAATGGTGGACCGAGTGCAGGGCTGGGATCTGAGGCATGAGGGGAACTTTCTTTTCCTCTTCCTTAAGCCTAGGGATGTGGCCAGAACCTTGGAGAGCCGTGGGGGCTACTGTGAGCTGCAGACAGAGTCCAAGAAGAGGGTGAAGGCCCTGCGGTCCATCTCTTTGCTCCTTTCCCCCTTCCTACATTTAACAGTCAGTTTCTCCCACAGGGGCCCCATCAGGTTATCTCCTCAAACCCGGCCAGTCCTTCATCCACTGCTGCCTTATCTTTTCCCCAGAAAATACTTCCTCTCCAACTGTGAGGATTATGCTCCGAAACTGCCCCCCCAGCACCCGGCAGAATTTCACAGCTGAGAGACGTTGACCTCAAAATTTAGGTTGCAAGTGAGTCCGCAGAACCACTTCCGCACATTGCTGTTCACAAGAGAAGCAAGCAGAGCACCAAACACGGCGACTGGCATTGGGTTTGTGTTTGCTTGTTCCTTTCTGAATCATCAGTTTTCATTTAATTAATTTATTTTTATTTATCTATTTATTTTGAGACAAGGTCGGGCTCTGTTGCCCAGGCTGGAGTACAGTGGTGCGATCTCAGCTCACTGCAGCCTTGGCCTCCTGAACTCAAGCAATCCTCCCCCAACTTCGGCCTTCCGAGTAGCTGGGACTACCGGTGCATGTCACCATGCCCAGCTATTTTTTGTTTTGTTTTGGTGGAGACAGAGTTCCACCATGTTGCCCAGGCTGGTCCTGAACTCCTGGGCTCAAGTGATCTGCCTGTCAGGCCTCTGAGCCCAAGCCAAGCCATCGCATCCCCTGTGACTTGCACGTATAGGCCCAGATGATCTGAAGTAACTGAAGAATCACAAAAGAAGTGCAAATGCCCTGCCTCGCTTTAACTGATGACATTCCACCACAGGAAAAGTGAAAACGGCCGGTCCTTGCCTTAAGCGATGATATTGTCTTGTGAAATTCCTTTTCCTGGCTCATCCTGGCTCAAAAAGCTCCCCCACTGAGCACCTTGTGACCCCCACTCCTGCCCGCCAGAGAACAACCCCCCTTTGACTGTAATTTTCCTTTACCTACCCAAATCCTATAAAACAGTCCCGCCCTTATCTCCCTTCGCTGACTCTTTTCGGACTCAGCCCGCCTGCACCCAGGTGAAATAAACAGCCATGTTGCTCACACAAAGCCTGTTTGGTGGTCTCTTCACATGGATGCGCATGACACTGCCCACCTCAGACTCCCAACCCACGCTGGAGTGCAGTGGTGCGATTTCGGCTCACTACAATCTCCGCCTCCAGGGTTCAAGTGATTCTCCTGCCTCAGCCTCCTGAGGAGCTGGGACTACAGGCATGCGACACCACGCCCGGCTAATTTTTGTATTTTTAGTAGAGATGGGGTTTCACCATGTTGGCCAGGCTGGTCTCGAACTCCTGACCTCAGGTGATCCACCCACCTCAGCATCCCAAAGTGCTGGGATTACAGGCAAGAGCCACCACGCCTAGCCTCTTTTTTATTGTAAAATACACATAACATAAAATTTACTCTTTTAACAATTTCAAGTGTAGAATGCAGTGGCATGAAATACATTCACATTATTGTGCAGCCCTCACCACCATCTACCTCCAGAAATTTTCCATCTTCCCAAACTGAAACTCCACACCAACTAAACACCAACCGACCATTGCTCCGTCCCCATAACTCCTGACAACCACCGGGTTACGTTCTGTCTCTGTGGATTTGACTGCTCTAGGAACCTCGTATAAGTAGAATCAACCAGATTTTGTTCTTGCGTTGAGGGAAGAGTAGACCCTCTATATTGTTTATGTTGTTTTATACTCAGAAAAGAAAAGAGAAGCGAAACTAAAGGCAGGTAGCCCAGCGCCCAGGAACCAGACCCGAAACCAGGCCTGGGCCTGCCTGACCTAAGCCTGGTAGTTAAAATTCGACCCCTGACCTAGCAACTGTTGTTATGTACAGATTCCAGACATTGTATGGAAGGACACCGTGAAACCTCCCATTCTGTTGTTTCACTCTGACCACTGGTGCTTGCAGCCCCTGTCAGGTAACCCCTGGCTCGCTCAATCAATCATGACCCTGTCACACGGACCCCCTTAGAGTTGTGAGCCCTTGAAATGGACAGAAGCCTGCTGATGCTCCCGGCTAATTAAAGCCACTCCCTTCACTATCTCGGTGTCTGAGGGGTTTTGTCCTGCTACATCATGACTGGCTTATTTCACTTAGCATAATGTCCTCAAGGTTCATCCACGTTGTCATATGTGTCAGAATCTTCCTCCTTTTAAACGATGAATGATATTGCATTGTATGTGTATATCACATTTTGTTTAACCATTCATCTGTTGTTTCTACCTTTTGGCTATTGTGAACCTGAGTGCACAAATACCTGTTGGAGTCAGTGCTTTCCATTCTTTTTGGCATATACCCATAAGAATTGCCAGATCAGGCCGGGCGCTGTGGCTCACGCCTGTAATCCCAGCACTTTGGGAGGCTGAGGCGGGCAGATCACGAGATCAGGAGATCGAGACCATCCTGGCTAACATGGTGAAACCACGTCTCTACTAAAAAATACAAAAAATTAGCCGGGCGCAGTGGTGGGCGCCTGTAGTCCCAGCTACTTGGGAGATTGAGTCAGGAGAATGGTGTGAACCTGGGAGGCGGAGGTTGTAGTGAGCCCAGATCGCGCCACCGCACTCCAGCCTGGGTGACAGAGTGAGACTCCATCTCAAAAAAAAAAAAAAAAAAAAAAAATGAATTGCCAGATCAGGCCGGGTGCGGTGGCTAAAAATACAAAAATTAGCCACGTGTGGTGGTGTGCACCTGTGGTCCCAGCTACTCGGGAGGCTGCGGCAGGAGAATCACTTGAATCCAGGAGGTGGAGGTTGCAGTGAGCCAAGATTGCGCCATTGTACTCCACCCTGAGCAACAGAGTGAGACTCCATCTCAAAAAAAAAAAAAAAAAAAAAAAAAAGCCAGATCGGAGCTGGGCACAGTGGCTTATGCCTGTAATCCCAGCACTTTGGGAGGCCAAGGCGGGAGGATCACCTAAGCTC